CTTGGAAAAGGAACACGTTCCTTGCTTTTGTAATTAATTACGTTTTTCGTTACATTTCTAAAAACGTAATTAATTACAGGTTAAAATTACTTCAAATGTAACGAGTACACAGTAACGCGTTACAATTGTAACGAGTATTTACAGCCCTGGTCAGAGAGCACCGAATAATTCTCAATATTCGGTACTTATTACATAATCTCAGCTGCTGACGTGCTCAGTCTCCAATAATAGGGGTTTTTTATCGAACTTGCATCCAAAAAAATATTATTGGATGCTGTTGTGCCCAAGCCCCAGCACGGCCAACAACTCAAACGCACACAAAAATAAAATAAATATACTTGAAACATTACTAATCTTTGTTTAATCATTTTATACCTTTCTGATGTCTTTAAATGTATAATAAAACAATTATTGCATTCAGCTTTCGCATGACATCAAGAATTATTCAGACCTCGGTCAATGTTATCCGCCTCAGCTTAATGCTTCGGCAGATAACATTGACCTCGGTCTGAATCATTCTTGATAACAATTGTTCCCCTGTTTCAAAAACATGTATGATTGGTCCTTGTACGAGTGGTGTAAACTATGTCTTCTAAAAGGATGACAATGTCTTTGTCAAGCAACAACCAAGTTATACATTTGTGGCCATCCTAGTGACTATTTGAAGTATGTAAGCATGTGGAACCTATAGTTACAGACATATGACATCAAATTTACAGATGGATCCAGGCAGATCAAGCTTTGCTTGTTCAGGGTGCAACTGTGGGGTAACTGTGTGTAATCACTAAAGGAAGCTACAGCAGCAAGGCCATTAAGCCTGGTTCACATGATGAAATAAGCATAAGCAAAAGCACAAGCAGCGGAACCTTTGATGTCATAAACGTAAGCATAAGAAGAACGCAACATTTGTTCTTCTTATGCTTATGCTTATGCACATCAAAGGTTCCGCTGCTTGTGCTTGTGCTTATGCTTATTTCATTGTGTGAATCAGGCTTTAGGCTGCCATTTAGGCTGTAGTCTTGCATTGACAATTTCATGACAATTTGTCTAGAATATACTTTATAATTATTTAAATTCTTTGTAATTGTCTTTCCACAACCAAAAAAAGATTGTTGCCAGCTCCCTTTGCCAGCTACTTCATCCATAGAGGGGGGGGGGAGGGTGATGCTGCATGAGCCCTAGGTCTTTATGTTGTGTGTTGCTCAAAATTCCCACTGTCTTCAAATCACTTCAAATCACATCTCTTATAGGTGAGTATCACATAGAGGGGCCTGTACCGGGTTCCGAAATCCCTCCATCCCGACCGATTCTCATCAAACAAATAATGACAACAAATAACCAAATATTCAAAGAACATAGTAACGACATAAAATACAATTTGAATACACTAAAATACATTATACTACAAAGTTTAAAATAATAAATGACTCTAAATCACGACTCTTATGAAAACTGCAATCGTACATCAATGATACATGTATACATGGGGGGTTGATGGGGACAAATGTTCGATATCATCCTTGAAAACAGTGAATTTCGAGCACACAAACAAATGGCAACAGTTTTTTTTTATTTATCCCGCTAATTGTCGATTACTTCCCTGCATATCGCCATGGTGTTTTTATTAATCCCACTTCCCGGGATGGATTCCCAACCAATATTTCTGTTAAAATCCTGAATCCAACTTGAATTTTAGACGCATCCCACAAAACCGGTAGGGGTGCACCGGAACTCGGTTCCGGCCAGAACCGCAATTTTTCAGAGTTCCGGTTCCAACTGGAACTAATAAAAAAAGCATGGCTGGAACCAGAACACTGTTATTTTCAGAGAGATAGAATTTCAAACGTTTTTGTGTATAACAAAAGTTCACAGTAAAATACACAATTGGACTACACAAGGAAAATACACACTATTAACACTTCATTATGACATTTAACGTTTGTCAATATTTTTATTCTAACATTTGCGAGGTCTCTCCTTGATGACTTGAAGTGTCTGCCAGCAGACAAGTAACATGACAGTCACTATATATGATTTAATAAATCGGTTCTGGCCAGAACTTTTTTCCAGTTCCGGTTCCGACCGGAACTTTGAAAATTGGTTCCGGTGCACCCCTAAAAACTGGTACACTATACGGGCCCCTCCACATACTGTGGGTTCACTCATGTAACACAAGCACATCTATTAGACTATTAGCCATGTTGCTATTTAACCATTATGATCATATAAAAATAGATTTGTCCATAAATAAAATATGCTGTCATTGACTATGAATTAATATATATATATATATATATATATATATGTATATGTTACTTTCTAGCTATTCTATGAAAGTTGAAACATAATTAAATTCAAACAGAAAACTTGTTACTAACCTGTTGAGATGTGAGCTCTACATGTTGTCTCCGTTGTATTAAACCGTCTCTTGCATGCATCACAAACTTGCTCAAGAATTTAATTTAACAAAGTCATAGTCGTGATCTTGACGATTATTTCGAGACAAAATACTAACTCCTTGGTGACAAAATTGAATGTTCCTGTATTAAAATCATAATATTCGAAATGAATACTCATTGTCAATGATCATTTCATATTTCTTCCTGATGAGCCCGCGGTTTAGAATTTAATCGGAAGAACCTTGGACGAAACGCGGAAGAACAAAACGCGGAAAGACGGATAAAACGAATAGAGTACGGTAAAGAAAAGAATAAAACGCGGTAAAGAACAGAAAGCGTAATGAATGTTTCCAAGGAACATTTGAGTTTCTACAACTATCGCAAATAAATAAAAACATTGTAACACTGCAATACACGGTGTTTTATTGCATATTAATCCCAGCGGCTTCTGTTTATGATGAAAAACTAACTACAACTTAAAAAAAAACAACTAACAAACAAATAACTACTAACTAACAACTAACTAACAACTAACTAACAACTAACTAACTAACAACTACTCGAAAAATAAGAAGTTCGACGTTTCCAGCGAAGATCTTCGTATGTCGGTACGGAAGTTAGTTTTGTATTAGTATTGTACACTGTCCGTAACACTGGCACCCAACATTCATATTTTATAATGCCTATGATAACCTAGGACTGTTTATAACTCTACGTATCCCTAATCGTGTTTGTTACTCGTTCTGGAAAATCTATAGTTTTGGTAGGAAACCGGACAAATATTAGTCTGCGCACAGACTGTCCCTCCC